TCATACACATGACATTCAAGTGAAATCCTTCTATTCTTCTATTTCCCAGAGGTAGAACCCCGGTTTTGTGTTTTCTACAGCAACATCAGGCATGACGCGCTGGCAAAAATCAGGTAATCTGGCGGTTAGTGGTTGTATTGAACTAAGAGGTACGAGTGAAAACGGGGCCGGGGGGGGGAGGTTTTTCACTCATAAGCCAACTGCAGCATCCAAGTTGACCTTGGAATCCTAGATGGCGAAGGCGCAAAAGATTACAGCATGAAAGAACAGTATAAAAAAGAAGGTAAGAATGAGATAAGACATTTCGGTCCATTAAGTCATGTACGCCTTAGCTCAACACCGCGCGACTGGACCTCATCAGTGTGACGGTAGCAGTGTTTAATGAAAAAGTAAACTGAGCGTATCAGAAGGGAAGGGAATGCTTACATTCGATTCAGATTTAGTAGAGGCAAGAAGAGGGGAGGGGTACTTGTATTCGATTGAAAAATACAAAGATTTCACATTTTGTACATTTCTTAACATTGTTACATCCGTCCGCTGCGTTTTTCCTTGAAAAATCGAAATTTTAACGCGTTTCCTCGATCGAAACGGCATTCCGCACCTTCCCCCTGTCATCTTTAAGACCCATACGTTTCAGAATTTGCGTATTTCGATTAGATGTTTCAGGTTTCTTGATGTTTCCGCGGTGGCGGCGGTTCAATGATTGGTGGGCGTCCTCTAGATGTCTTGGTCATCAGCAACAGTACCAAACTGAGCAGCAGTGATGCATCGGGCGTCGCTATGAAGGAGGCGCCGCCGATGCAACAGCATGCCGCCACAAGCACTCATGGTCAGCACTTCTAATTATGCGTTTTTGCTGTGCAGCGCTAGCTTTGCCCGATTTTCACAGTGGCAAATTTGATATATATATACCCTATCCGTCGTAGGCGTAGACGTTCTGCTTTTCTAACCGCTCTTTCGTCTGCTTTCTCGCGCCACACATAGTACTAACACACTCTTTTTCTCAGAGCTTGGCCGAGGGGGCGGAGTCTGGAACGTTCTCGAATGCTGCATTCACCGGCACGCTGCATTCATTGATTGCTAGCAAAGCGAGCAGCGTACTCTGCCCATCGGATTTTACTTTCTCGCGTGGTCGCAAGTAACTTCTTGTGCATCACTCATCTGACGGAGAGTCTGATTGTTTGTATGGTTATGGATGGTTATCCTAACTGTCCTTCTCTCCCCGTCACAGCCAGCATCTTTTCCAGCATGTTTCATTTCATACCTGTACTTTATGAACGGATCCATGGCGGACTCCTGGCAGAAAGGGAAGGAGGGGGAGGACGCGACGGAGGGTGGGGTCCCTTCCTGTCCTAAAACTATGCAAAAACTAGGAATAGAGTTGTAACACAACTACTTAGAGTTATTTTAGGCTTTAGTTTTAAACTTAGTTTTAGATTTGCTTGTACCGCTGAGGTTTAGGGAAGGGGAAGGGGAGGAAGGGGACGAGGGAGGACAAGAAGGCCATCCCCTATGACTTACTTGATACTTGGTCACATCTCGAAAAGCACTTTCCCATGGTCTAACGGATAAAACATGCCATTTTCTTTCTTATTCTTCTTTAAAACGAGAGTTCTCACTCTTTTTTCACTGCCACGGTCATCTAAAGTTAATTGCTGAGGTCAGATCCAAATTCCCGGGGTCAACAACGGTTGTATAATCTGCATGAACATACCATCAGGCCAGACATATGTTGTCGTATATACTTACTTGAATACTTGAGCAGCTGTATATGTCATCGACGTTCGTTGTCACGCCATCAGTGCAGCACTGGCAACTTTCTCAATTCGATTCGTTGTTGCGCTCTTCGAGTCCACGCGATACCGTACAAGCTTACCATGGGTCTCTCCATCTCACACTGATGGCTCTACCAGTGTTCGCTTGACTATGCACAGATACCATTCCATTATCCGCTTCGTCCATCTGTTGTCTGACATCCATGCCACATGACTAGCCCATCTCTGTTGTATATCGATTTTCTAAAATTCTCCTCGCATTGGTTTTCTTTCATTCGATTTCTTAGTGACCCGGCATAGTGGATTAACTTTGAAAAAAGCCATTTTTACTGTTATTTCTTCGGATCAATAGCTCTTAACTCGTGCATAAGTTTGAGGTCATCATTTTTTCTGATAGTTTTTGAGGATTTGAAGGTCAATACCAAATCTCATCTTATACATCTTTCATAAAAATTCTGCCAGAATATTTGAGGATCATCCCCCCTCTCAGTTGATGGTCAGTACCACATCCCACCTGATATACCTCTTTCCATCTACCCGGATAAAAGCCGTCCAAATCTCATTGTGCATCTCAGCCGCGCGACGACCCCAGATAAATAATATCTTCACGGCAAAACTTCTACTTGCTTTACGGTCATCAGCGCACCGTGGAAGAGCCGAGCATGGTCCCCTCTCCCTTCTACATGTCTTGGGCTCAGGAATCCTCCTGGAAGGGTTGGTTCTAGCTGAAAAAAGAGATAGTATCTATCAGGATCGTATTTAGCACATGTGCATATTGCGCTGTGTTTGCTTATATATTTTTTGTGTGTGGTTTTTGAAACCCAAATTTGAGATCCCCGGTTTAAAAGCATTGATTCAGCAGCATGTGCGCCCTGTATTTTTGATTTTCTATTGTTTTTTTTTTTTAAAATATTTGCTTTTACTAAAAGAAGAATATTTACTTTTTAAAAAATATTTACTTTTAACAGGTGATCCGTCTCATCTAGTGGTCAGCCTTCTGGCAATCCTTGCTTTCAGAAATTTCTTTGAATTGCTTGCCGGCTTAGTGTTCCCACCTCCCAGCCCGACAAAGAAGCACTTTGATAAGGCTTTAATGGATACACTTCGCCGTCTAATACACTTCGCTGATTGAGCTGCTGTTCCAGACCATTCTTGTTTTCTTCACAGGGCCTTTTAGGCCTGTACTGCCTTTTCTTTTAATGGAGATTCGGCGGTGTGTGTTGAGTTTCATAACTTCGTCTATAAATAGCGCTATGCCTAAATCACTTCGGAATACCTTACCGTCTGAATGCTTCGTGTTGTATATGCAAAAAAAAAATCCCCCAAAACTTGTAAAAATTCTTTTCAAGAAATGTAAAAGCCATTATTAGATGGCCGAATGAAAAATGAACGGTAAAAGTGAGACGGCCAG